TGTGTATAAGAGACTACAATATAACTATTAGTGCCGTGTTCAAACTTGAAGTAATGCAGTGCAATTAAAATGACTACAATCAATTAAAAATACCAATTCAAATTAAATAACAATACTTCTATTATCAACACTATATTCTAAATAAAATGACTAGACTTCATTAGAAAATACTAAAATTAAATCAAGTTTACAAAACTTGATTGAAATCATTTTAATTCCACTAATATCAATATAAATTGTTACTTTTTAGCATCAATTAATACCTAAATCTCTCTAAAGGGGTTATTCTATAGATAATTGAAAGTTAATAATTTTCTTCTTTCAGATTCAGTGAATTTCATTTCAGTTTTCAGCCTAAACGACTATTTTACCTTCAGTCAGCGCTCTTTAGTCAGACCAGCTGACTAGTTTCGAGGTCTCAATATCAGCACAAAAAATTCTCAGTCTGAATAACAAGATAATTCAAGTTGCCGGAATAGCAGATAAATAATTCTCGTTAACTAAGAAGTAATTTAGATTTGGATTGTATACAAAATAATATAAATATATACGATGTATGTTTATATCTATAAGTCCGTCAATAGCGGGACGATTTTGGTGACATTCTGTGACGGCATGTCAATTGTGCGACGAAAAACGCGTCGCACAATATCACATTTAATTATATTATTAACAATTGTGCGATATAGAAAACATGAACGTAATTCTCCGGCAGGGTTTAATTCTACGCACACCTCATTAAGTTAGTGTTAAGGTTATTCCTGTTAAGTAGCTGTTGTTACATCTTCAACCTGATTATGCTGAGGGTGAAGGCTCAGATAGAAATGCTTCATTTTTATTAATGGATGGTTGAAAATTTCAACTAATCAAAGTCGTGGCAGTATTATTAGTGTATATACAGTATATATGTACTTATGTCCTCAGTATATGTACTTATATCATTAGTCTGCTATAATCGCAAATTCATCAAGAATTCAAAAGCAAAGAAAACGGCAGGTAGGTTCATAATATATTCATCAAATTCGATGAAGTTTTGTTGAATTCACGAGGCATTTTGTTTCCTTTAAAGCTTTCAAAGAAGTAGAGCTTACACCAACTGCTGAATGGAAGTTTTATTGAATTCACAAGGCATTTTGTTTTCTTTTAAGCTTTTAAAGAAGTAGAGCTCACACCACCTGCTGAATGGTGCATAGAACGTACGTTAAAAAATATAAATATATACGATGTATGTTTATATCTATAAGTCCGTCAATAGCGGGACGATTTTGGTGACATTCTGTGACGGCATGTCAATTGTGCGACGGAAAGTGCATCGCACAATATTTCATTTAATTATGTTATTAACACTTGTGCGATATGGAAAACATGAACGTAATTCTCAGGCAGGGTTTAATTATACGCCCACCTCATTAAATTTGTGTTAAGGTTATTGGAGTTAAGTAGCTGTTGTTACACCCTTAAACCTGATCATTCTGAAGATGAAGGTCCAGATAGAAATGCTTCATTTTTATTTAATGGATGTTTGAAAATTTCAACTAATCAAAGTCGTGGCATTATTATTGTATATATATACTTATATTATTAGTATATGTACTTGAATCATTAATCTGATTTAATCGCAAGCTCACAAAGAATTCAAAAGCAAATAAAATGGCAGGTAGGTTCATAATATATTCATCAAATTCGATGAAGTTTTGTTGAATTCACGAGGCATTTTGTTTTCTTTTGAGCTTCTAAAGAAGTAGCGCTCACACCACCTGCTGAATGGTGCATAGAACGTACGTTAAAATAATTAGGACCATGTCAGAGGTTACTACTTACTTTATCCATGCATGCGAAATGAGTTCAGAGCAAACTTCTTCTACGTGTGATAACCGCGCTGTTTTTCTCACGCAAACTTGCCCTCTGTGCCCTCAAATCCCTCTTTTCTCCCCTATACCTAATTCTTCCCTCTTATACCTCTTTTATCCCCTCTAATTTATTTTGCTCTCTTTCGCCTCTTTTATCTTCTGTATTTTATTTGCCCTCTTATCTCTTTTATCCGTTATACCTAATTCTGCCCCCTTATACTTCTTTTATCCCCTTCACCTTACTTTGCTCTCTTTCACCTCTTTTATCCTCTGTATCTTATTTACCCTCATTTCCCTCTTCTCTCCCCTATGCCTAATTCTGCTCTCTTATACCCTTTAATCCTCTTTACCTTAGTTTGCTTTCTTTCGCCTCTATTATCCTCTGTATCATATTAGCCCTCTTTTCCCTCTTTTCTCCCCATACCTAATTCCGCCCTCTCATACCCTTCTATCCATTTACCTTATTTTGCTCTCTTGCACCTCTTTTATCCTCTGCCTCTCATTTACTCTCTTTTCCCTCTGCACCCTCACTGCCTGAGCAGTGAAGTCAGCGATGAAGGCAGCAACGAATGACCGCTCACTGCTCAGCTGACTTCACTGCCTCGAGCCTTCCACTTTCACTGTTTAATTAATTACCACTAGTGGCAATGACTCTATATCATTGCACGTCATTGCAGGTCGTTTCAAGCATTTTCTTCTCCAGCGTGCGATGATAAAACGATTGTTTTTTGTGGTGATTGTGTGAGAGATGTCGAGTGATCGGTTAATCCTGCGGCAATCTTTAAGCAATCCTGATGAGGCAAGTGCGTTTATGAAGGCGCTTGGAGGAACAGGGAGAGAGAGTCGGCTTAACGGAGAGAGATCAACATAACAGAGAGAGATCAACATAAAAGAAAGAGATCAACATAACAGAGAGAGATCTACATAACAGAGAGATTAACATGACAGAGAGATTAACATTAAAGAGAGAGATCAACATTAGAGAAAGAGATCAACATAACAGAGAGAGATCATCATGACAAGAAGAGACATACATATTACCATGGATTTATCACGTAGTAAAATGTTCGGGTAAATGATATACATTCAATGACCATTATTCCACAATGTATCAAGTTCCCGCTTTTTCCATGCACTCAGAAAAATAAGGAGTAATATGTCCAACTTAGTCAATTTGCTTCCGTGTGGGTCATCTTGACTCAGTTTGACCCTATAGCACGGCGTATCATTGCTACGTGCAGGAAGTGTGCCATTATTTGGACATTATAACCCAATGAATTTTCTGACAGCGGGTCACCGTAGAAGGGGGGCAGTTCTATGGGGGGTTAGGGGTTTCATATCAGCGTGACCCCCGACCCCCGCAGTAACGGTTTGGTGACGTCATACTCCCGTTACAGACCGTTGGGTTAACAACGTAAACGGCCTGTTGCCGGTGCCTGTTTGGTGATCAAACAGCGCAGCAGCCGTAATACAGCCGTAGTGCAGCCGTAATACAGCCGTAGTGCAGCCATACTACACGTGCCGCCGTAATTAAGCCGCTCGTGCCGCCGTAATTAAGCTACACGTGCCGCCGTAATTAAGCCGCTCGTGCCGCCGTAATTAAGCCGCACGTGCCGCCGTAATTAAGCCGCACGTGCCGCCGTAATTAAGCCGTAGGGCGCAGCTGCTGGCCTTCAGACGCACCGTAACATCACGCGCGCTGTGGTCGTGACGGGCGGCGCAGCGGGGCGTTGCGCCGAACAATGAATAAAAGATTGATGAAGATAATCTTGAAATGATAGAGAGAAGCAGGTAATGAAACGGAAAATCGTAGAAATGATTGAAAAAATCTGAAAATGATTGAAAAAAATTGAAAATGATTGAAAAAAAATCTGAAAATGATTAAAAAAATCTAGAAATGATTGAAAAAATCTGAAAATGATTGAAAAAGTCTAAAAATGATGAAAAAAATCTGGAAATAATAGAGCAAATTTTTAGTTAATACAGTGAATCGGGAAACGATGACGTAATTCTGAAAATTGCCATTAGAATCAGAAAATAGTTTCAGAATATCGTGAAAACGATTTCAGAATATAATTGAAAAATTGGAGTGGCACAATCGCTACTGAGCCTCGAAGTGGCAAAATCGATTTAAGAATGAAAACTGCTATAATTTTATTAACGTGTTGTTCATTAATGTATTGTACCGCAGTCTTAAATCACATTTGTGAACGGGATTTTTGGAACGTAATGTATAATTATTGACTGTTCAACGGCCCGTTTGCTCTTAGTCGACTTCGATTGTATACATGAATGACAACTTGTTAACAACGAAGTACAAATTACTCAATAAGGATCGGTTTGCTCCGCAAATTCAATTAAATTTATGAATAGTAACTAAATGAACGTAAGTCAAATTATTGGCCTATCAAGAACCCATTTGCACCGCAAATTCAATTACATTGATGAATGGTAACTCAATGAACGTAAGTCCAATTATTGGTGTATCAAGGATCCGTTTGCCCCGCAGACTTCGACAGGATCCAGGCGATGAAGGCCGAGAACCCGAGGCTGCGCGTCATCGTAGCGCTGGGAGGCACGTCAATCAAGTCCACATCGTTCGCGCAGGTCACGTCCACCAAGGCCGCCGTCGCGAATTTCTCCGAACAGGTCGTGGACTTCCTGAGGACGAGGCGGATGGACGGAGTGGAGGTGGACTGGCGGTGGCCTGGAGAGGACGGTGGATCAAAAGATAGAGACGACCTCACGCTGCTTATCAAGGTGGGAAGAAATTAGGCAATATATAAATTGTTCAGTTCAGGTGGCTACGTGTTGGCTTATGTATATATTACTCATTGTTTGTGTGTTCGTTTGTTTGTTAACTTGCGTGTTTGTGTGTTTGTTGCCGCAATATACAGGGGCTATTGAAGCGCGCTTCTAGGACGCCTACAATGTAGGGACATTTGGACTTTATTGTATTGTATTTGTATAAGCCCAAGTTTATATTGTATTTTAGGGAGGATGGGGTGGCTTAGGAGGAAAAAAAGATGGGGGAGGGTTAGGTTAGATGGATAAAAAAATCTTAATTGCCGAATAACATGAGGCTAATGGTTGGAATTCAATTCAATCAACCATTTGAATAGGCGAGTGAAGTTAAATCTGTTTTATAAGTTTTCTTATAATTTAACAGACTCTGAGAGCGTCACTTGATGAATTGGATGACGAACACAACAGAGTTAAACGGGAGGGGGAAACGGATGCTGAAACTACGGCGACAACAGAGTTGACTATCGCGGCTGAAACAGACACTGCTGAAACTGTAACCGATGAAACTGTCACCGATGAAACGGCTACTAATGAAACGGACACCGATGAAACGGTTTTTGATGAAGCGGCAACAGAAAAAACGGTTACAGATGAAACGGCCACCGGGGGGACGAGCGCTCCTGAAACAGGCTACGCCGCCGCCCCGGCTTCGCTTTCACCGGGTTTCGATCTCACGAAAATGATTGGCAACTTTTTCAGCTACGCGTGAGTGATCTTATTTTCTAGGTTATTTTTTAACATGATTTTATAGCAATTACCTGTACATTTCTTCAGATTGCAGCGAAGATGGACTGTTTTCAATTTTGACCGTAAATTGCAATGAATGCAATTATAATATGACAATTATACTATAAAGCATAATAATTCCGGATCTCATTAATATTCAACTAAAATCCTCACTTACTTTAGATATGTCGACACAAAACCAACGATTTCTTTCCTCATTGCACAGCATGGGCACGTCTCACGGCCAGTCTGATAATAACCACATCACTCCTGACCTAAGGAGAGAAGATGAGGTAAGGTTACCCACATCCACCACCAACATCAGGTCTCTTCCATCCCCACTTCCTCCTTCATCCTCTGCCCCTCCATCATCATCCATGCAAGACAATTTCGAAGGAGATGCCGGCTTAGGTAGAAGCGGCAGGAGGGGCAGCGTACGTTTCACCGTGAGTCTTGCGTCCATTTACGCCCGTGACTTCTTCAGTTGCTGTCGTATTACTACACGCTTTTAGTTGCTGTTTTTCTTCAAAATGCTTTTAGTTTCAGTCGCTTATCGAAGTTTTTGTATCTGCAGGCACCTATATTTTCTTCTTTAAGGTTTTGGTGGCTTCTTATCTGAATTGAGTTTAGTGACTTTCCAAACTTTTTCCGTCCCTGTCGCTGCATTAACTGCTTCCAATTTCTGTCTCAAACCGCTAAGACCGTTGATATAGAATATATTTGTAAGAATTCTGATATGTTTACAGCAGACAAGTCCACTTCTGACATGGTTACAGCAAACAAGCCCACTTCTGATATGGTTACAGCAGACAAGTCCACTTCTGATATGGTTACAGCAAACAAGTCCACTTCTGATATGGTTACAGCAAACAAGTCAACTTCAGATATAGTTACAATACACAAGTCCACTTCTGATATGGTTACAGCACACAAGTCCACTTCTGACATGGTTACAGTGCACAAGTCCACTTCTGATATGGTTACAGCACACAAGTCCACTTCTGACATGGTTACAGTACACAAGTCCACTTCTGATATAGTTACAATACACAAGTCCACTTCTGACATGGTTACAACACACAAGTCCACTTCTGATATGGTTACAGCACACAAGTCCACTGCTGATATTGTTACAGTTCACAAGTCCACTTCTTATCTCATTAGTTTGCTCTGATAACATGTTCCTCGAGAACTTAAAAACAATCGAAACGCCAGGACAACTCTTCAAATCTTCATTGACCTCTCGGAGACAAGCTTCATCATCAGGTAAAAAAAATTTAATTGTGAACAATTGCAATCAGTAGGAAAAATCTAAATATACTTATCTAAATATACATATAAATCTTTTCGCGTGTATTTAGATTTTTATTGCGGATTGTACTTGTATTCTATATTTTTTTAACTGATGATGGAAACGGTAAAGTGTTCAATGAAGGTTTGGCGAATAGCTTGCCGATCAGGTCACGTTCCTCGTATAACTTAAACTCATTTTTCTCCATCAACGGACAAAAAAGATAAGTTTAATTTTTCAACATAACTGTATCGAAAATTCCATGTCTTGAATGCACGCGAAATTAATAGCGTCGCAAGCTCAGTGGAGTAAGCACACTTCCACTGATTCTGATAAAAATAATTTCATAGATTCATTTCATTTTAGTGACTTCCACCAAATTGTGGATAATTCTACGTAAAATTAACGGGTTGTTGAATGTGAATTTTTCCATTTATTGTTGTATCTTGCTTTGAAAAATCGCCTGCCCAACGAAGGCGCCCTTGCTGAGTGTAAATATTTTTTAACTTTACAGTTTTGCGTGCAAGCTACATCTTAATTTCAAAGAATTTCAAGTTATTTTAAAGGTCAAATTAGATTTTTAATTGACACTCAAGTCTTCACATCTCATCGATATAAGAGTTAGTAGGATTTTCTAACATTCGTTGGTATAACGTATGAGAATATGTTCCTCGAGAATATGTAGAGCATTAATCCCAGTTGAGAAAAAACTTTTCTTCGGACAACCTTTCCTCTCCATGTTAATTTCAATTTTATTTCGGAGTGAGTTAACTTGACTATTAACATCAACTATTTATCATTCTTTATTCACTAATTCACAACATTTCCCAGCATTGCATGACGCTCACGCGGCACAGCCTTTGCTCCCTGGAACTTACAATATATTAATTATTATTTTAGTATATTATATTTCATTCTAGCCATTTACCCCTTCAAGAGAAACAACTTCATAATCATTAACATATTTGACTTTCACAAATCTCAATTGCTTCTAGTCTCAGTTTAGGATAAAAAAGTACTCTCAGAAAAAATGGGTATTTTGTTCAAATTGTGACTCACTTTTGTATCCTCAGCAGGCGCAGATAGCGGATGATACGCTCTTTTACCAGGCCAAACTGTGTCATGATGACAAGCACAAATACAAATAAATTCCTCAATATATTGTAAGGATTTACACCTTTGAGTTTAAATTTACGAGCTAATTCAATTAACTAACTCTGAACAAGAAAATTGGCAGGAAGCAGCCATGGCGCATACAAAAATAGCCAAGATGCTTCGTAAGGTTTTATTTATCGAGAAATTCTATTAAAAACAGTGTAAAAATGCTTTTCTTCCGGGGGTATTAGCGCTGAAGTAAATTGGCTTCCACTAAGGTAGCCTGTTCTGAGCGTGGTTAAAGGCACCAGGGCCTATACTTTCAAAAAAAGTTAAGAGATCGTAAGTTCATCAGCCAATCCTTGACGGCCTTTCAAGCAAAATCCACCAAGCATAGACAAGAAAATAGAGCGTAAGTATTTACGCTCACTTAGCGAGTTTTGAAGGTATGGCCCCAGCTCCTGAGCGCTGTGACGTAGCCGTGACATCAGACAACGTGGACGTTGCGCAAGAGAAATGACGTCGCAAGGAGGGCGAAAAAGCACGTGGACAGCAGGACTCAAAACCTAATACTAGAAATAAAATATAATTTTCGTCAGGCTCATAGAGTTTTCAACTGTCAAAAAAACTGTTATTTCAGAAATAAAGATCAAATAAATTTCAAAACTATCCAACTAGCCTGAGATTTTTAATGCCCAGTGTTGAGACTATATGATCATGATTTATGCAATGAATGAAGAGGTTAATAGTGGAAATTTAGAGGAAATCAGTTAGAGGAGATAAAGTTGTACGGAAAAGGGCGGCAGGATTAGCTCGAAGTAACTGCTTATTGAAAGAAGACTAAAGACTTGAATTAGGATGACAAAACCCGTAACAGATTAACCAACTGCTAGCACCAATTGCACAATGCATATTTCTGGCAAATAGATATATTTTATTGAGATCAAATATATTGGATAAAGTTTTTATAACATTTATATTGTTTTTTTAGAATTCGATAGATTTGATATGAATATATTCAACAACTTTGATATAGATTTGATATTAATTTAACAACCTCTGATATATACATATGAAATATAGCAGATATTAATTTGATAGAATTTGATACAAATTCGCCATTAATGATACTTTCTTAAAACTGTATATAAGTTACTTCAGGCGCAAATAAGCATAGTTATTGCAAACCAAAGGAAAAGAAAATGACACGGCATTCGCACAAAATAAGGAACAACGTACCAGGTTCACAGAAAGTTAGAGAAATACTTAATGACTGATGAATATGATGAATCTGAACACACTGATTAGCAGGCGGCACAAATTTGCAGTTAGAATGTACCACAGAGAGAGCCGACCGCCGCTCGGAACTGCTTATAATGGAATCTTTAGAGCTGGTCCGCCCAGTGCTCAACATCAACTTGTCCGCTCAGCTGGACAGTGGACACCCGCACCGCGAGCCAGAAAAAAACCCTCGATATTCCCTGTATTAGGATATTCCCTTTAAGGAATGGAAATTATCGTTAAGAAATTTAGAATTTCTTAGTTTAGAAAAGTCTTTCTGAGTGTATAATCACACATCCTACCTGCATTCAGGACTACTACGCATCCTCCAGCGCAGTCGGCGTCCGCGCCACATCCTCGGCAGAGCGACCCTCGTCTGTGCCCTCAGAGGGCTGGACGTGGCCCACTGAGGGAGCCGCCCCTCGCGAAGACGCCCCCAAGAGACCCTTGCTACTCCTGCACCTTCCTTCCCGCCCGGAGCTCCTGGCCAAAGGATATGACCTCAAGAAGCTTGCTAGGTGTGACAGTCAAGNCTTCTAGCTATAAGAATAATATCCTAGTTATTATTATGCCCTTTTAGTAAAGAGGCTTAATTACTAGTAAATATTCTATATTTTCTATAAAGAATTAATTCATTGCTAGAAACTGTAATTTAGTAGACTTGAGAATCACACCCGCAAGAATATTAGAATTTTCTAGTATAAAGAAGCACTTCATAATAAATGTTTTCTTGAGTGATAGAGATATAACTATGAAGAAGCACTACATAATAAATGTTTTCATGAGTGAGAATATCGCGGGATTTAAGCTGACTTTTTGTGGCATGAATTACAGCTCAGGATATTTGGCCTCCGGAGAAGCACTTAGTCTATTAGAAATGTTATTGTAAAGGAGCTGGATCCATTTGATCGTTACGTTCGTTGGGTACATTAACAGTAGATCCACTTGCTCAATTAGGTCCAATAGACCCAGTTTGTCCAGCTATTCGATGATTATTAAAGAAGCAATTACAATGCAAGGTCGACTAATAGGTTCACTGTTATATAAATATTTATAATTTACACTGTGTTACACGTAATACCTTCTGTTCCATCGCCGCTAAGTCCATATATATAGCAGTTCACCAACGCAGTTCATTATTTGTATCTATGCGTATTGCTTCAGTATTAACAAACCATAGCGCGCTGAATACATAGCCTTATAATTTGCATGTTATAATATTATAATTATATTTATTATAATTATAATTTCAAAAGTAATGAATTTTTATTTTGTAATTTATTATTATGTGTGTTTGGTTGTGGCCAGTCTGGTGGACATGTTCAGCCTCGGCACGGACAACCTGACCAGCCCTCGCCGCCCCCTCAACCAAACCTGCCACCACGCCCGCCTCATGGGCGTCGCATGGTCGTAAGTGGTGCGGTGGTCGTAAGTGGTGCGGTGGTCGTAAGTGGTGCGGTGGTCGTAAGTGGTGCGGTGGTCGTAAGTGCAGCGCGTACGAAATTGTTACGTGGAGCTTTTCGAGTTCAGAAGTCAAACTTTAACGAGGTCTGACCTTCACCTAAACAGTTTGACCTTGACCTCTAACCCAGCACCAAAATACTGAACATTTATATAACCGTCATAAGGAGAGGGCATCTGTTACGACTGTCGTAAGGCCAGAAGGCATCTTGAATTCAGCCATCAACAATCTGCATGCGTACGAAATAAAATTTTGTTGATATCTTACGCCGGCATCTCCGCTGCGCGTTGATTTTGTGTCAACAGTGGAAAACCTCACAGCGTAACTCGCTCATTTATTTTTATATGCGCATTTAAATATCATTCAAATAAGCGCTAATATAAATTTTTGGGGAAGATTAGATAATAATTGACTATAAATATTATAAACAAATATGTATTATATTATATTTGTATTATATAATACTTATGACATACATAATAATGCACATTAATTATATACTATTTGTATTATACAAAATATACATATAAAATGTATAATCGGGCTGCGGTAGCCGACAACAAATGAAATGCCGGGCACACCGATTTCCGTTCGTAACTTTTTCAAAACTCACGACAATTTAAAATAAATATTTTTTCTTCAAAAATTTTAAGTCGTATGAAACTCTTCAATTCAAAAGAATCGCCATCATTAAAATTATTTCTTATTATTAAAAAATTTGGCTTTTGTTCAATACTTATACAGTAAATATACATTTTACTCCACATTGCATAGAAGTCAATAAATTTTCATCAAAATCGGTTTAGATGGAAACAAGGAAAAGCCATTCACGATGTCCGCATTATTTCAAGACTAACTCCATATCCTGTAGAACAAAGAGATGTTGCTGTGTCACGCTCTTTCACTTTCACTTCCACTTTCACTTCAAACTTTCGCGGTGATTAATAGCCAGCAGGATCTCGGGTAAAGTAAACTAGGGCGAGTAGGGGTTGAAAGTGGCTGTGGCAGTGCTGGAAGTGGCTGTGGCAGTGCTGGAAGTGGCTGTGGCAGTGCTGGAAGTGGCTGTGGCAGTGTTGAAAGTGGCTGTGGCAGTGCTGGAAGTGGCTGTGGCAGTGCTGGAAGTGGCTGTGGCAGTGCTGGAAGTGGCTGTGGCAGTGCTGGAAGTGGCTGTGGCAGTGCTGGAAGTGGCTGTGGCAGTGCTGGAAGTGGCTGTGGCAGTGCTGGAAGTGGCTGTGGCAGTGCTGGAAGTGGCTGTGGCAGTGCTGGAAGTGGCTGTGGCAGTGCTGGAAGTGGCTGTGGCAGTGCTGGAAGTGGCTGTGGCAGTGCTGGAAGTGGCTGTGGCAGTGCTGGAAGTGGCTGTGGCAGTGCTGGAAGTGGCTGTGGCAGTGCTGGAAGTGGCTGTGGCAGTGCTGGAAGTGGCTGTGGCAGTGCTGGAAGTGGCTGTGGCAGTGCTGGAAGTGGCTGTGGCAGTGCTGGAAGTGGCTGTGGCAGTGCTGGAAGTGGCTGTGGCAGTGCTGGAAGTGGCTGTGGCAGTGCTGGAAGTGGCTGTGGCAGTGCTGGAAGTGGCTGTGGCAGTGCTGGAAGTGGCTGTGGCAGTGCTGGAAGTGGCTGTGGCAGTGCTGGAAGTGGCTGTGGCAGTGCTGGAAGTGGCTGTGGCAGTGCTGGAAGTGGCTGTGGCAGTGCTGGAANTATATATGTACTTATGTCCTCAGTATATGTACTTATATCATTAGTCTGCTATAATCGCAAATTCATCAAGAATTCAAAAGCAAAGAAAACGGCAGGTAGGTTCATAATATATTCATCAAATTCGATGAAGTTTTGTTGAATTCACGAGGCATTTTGTTTTCTTTTGAGCTTCTAAAGAAGTAGCGCTCACACCACCTGCTGAATGGTGCCTGTCTCTTATACACATCTAGATGTGTATAAGAGACAGAGTGAGTCATGCCACTCTAAGGTGAGTCATGCCACTCTAAGGTGAGTCATGCCACTCCAAGGTGAGTCATGCCACTCCAAGGGGAGTCATGCCAATCTAAGGTGAGTCATGTCACTCTAAAGTGAGTCATGCCACTTTAAGGTGAGTCATGCCACTCTAAGGTGAGTCATGCCAATCTAAGGTGAGTCATGCCACTCTAAGATGAGTCATGCCACTCTAATATGATTCATGTCACTCTAAGGTGAGTCATGCCACTCTACTATGAGTCATGTTACTCTAATATGAGTCATGCCACTCTAAGATGAGTCATGCCACTTTAAGGTGAGTCATTCCACTCTAAGGTGAGTCATGCCACTCTAAGATGAGTCATGACACCCTAATATGAGTCATGCCACTCTAATATGAGTCATGTCACTCTAATATGAGTCATGCCACTCTAATTTGAGTCATGCCACTCTAATATGAGTCATGCCACTCTAATATGTAACTAACCATCATGCCCCCCTCCAGGGTGTGGGGGTTCAGACCCCCGTGGGGTTGTGGCCTGCTACGTGGGGGTCGAGGGTAGCCCCAGTCTGGGGGCGGTAGACCCCTGCCGCTGCTCGCTGCTGGTGCTGGGGGGCGCCAGTCTGGGGGACGGACTCTCCCTCGAAACTGTCTTGTCACTGTCTTGTCACTGTCTTGTCACTGTCTTGTCACTGTCTTGTCACTGGGGGTGAGGGTCAGGAGGTCAAGCAGGTGAGGCATGAAGGTCAGCATACCGCCTACACTTCATCCCTGCAACTCCTTAAACTTAATTAAACTAATTCTCTCATTAAAACTTAAACTAATTAAACCTAACTTTCCAAAGCCAAAATAAAGGTTGTCTACATATAATCATACTTATATCCATACACACACTCATAAATATGTATGTATGTATACATTCACACAAGAAAATTACCACACAAATACTCAGGCGACGCTTAGATGAAGGAGAACGCGTCCTGTGTTTTTATAACAAAACCACACACCGTGAAGGATGTCAAGACTTAATGAGATGCTGCGCCCGTAACACAAGACTTAATGAGATGCTGCGCCCGTAACACAAGGCTTAATGAGATGCTGTGCCCGTAACACAAGACTTAATGAGATGCTGCGCCCGTAACACAAGACTTAATGAGATGCTGCGCCCGTAACACAAGACTTAATGAGATACTGTGCCCGTAACACAAGACTTAATGAGATACTGTGCCCGTAACACAAGACTTAATGAGATGCTGTGCCCGTAACACAAGACTTAATGAGATGCTGTGCCCGTAACACAAGACTTAATGAGATACTGTGCCCGTAACACAAGACTTAATGAGATGTAACGCCCGTAACACAAGGCTTAATGAGATGTGACGCCAGTAACACAAGACTTAATGAGATGTGACGCCCGTAACACAAGGCTTAATGAGATGTGGTGCCCATACCTGCTGCGTGGTCGACATGTTGGAATAGCATTACTTGCTGCGTGGTCACGTAGGAATAGCACTACTTGCTGCGTGGTCACGTAGGAATAGCATTACTTGCTGCGTGGTCACGTAGGAATAGCATTACTTGCTGAATGGTCACGTAGGAATAGCATTACTTGCTGCGTGGTCACGTAGGAATAGCATTACTTGCTGCGTGGTCACGTAGGAATAGCATCACTTGCTGCGTGGTCACGTAGGAATAGCACTAATTGCTGCGTGGTCACGTAGGAATAGCATTACTTGCTGCGTGGTCACGTAGGAATGGCACTACTTGCTGCGTGGTCACGTAGGAATAGCACTACTTGCTGAGTGGTAAGGTAGGAATAGCACTACTTGCTGCGTGGTCACGTAGGAATAGCACTACTTGCTGAATGGTCACGTAGGAATAGCATTACTTGCTGCGTAGTCACGTAGGAATAGCATTACTTGCTGAGTGGTCACGTAGGAATAGCATTACTTGCTGCGTAGTCACATAGGAATAGCATTACTTGCTGAATGGTCACGTAGGAATAGCATTACTTGCTGCGTTGTCACGTAGGAATAGCATTACTTGCTGCGTGGTCACGTAGGAATAGCATTACTTGCTGAATGGTCACGTAGGAATAGCATTACTTGCTGCGTAGTCACGTAGGAATAGCATTACTTGCTGCGTGGTCACGTTGGAATAGCATTACTTGCTGCGTGGTCACGTAGGAATAGCATTACTTGCTGCGTGGTCACGTAGGAATAGCATTACTTGCTGCGTGGTCACGTAGGAATAGCATTACTTGCTGCGTGGTCACGTAGGAATAGCACTACTTGCTGCGTAGTCACGTAGGAATAGCACTACTTACTGCGTGGTCACGTAGGAATAGCATTACTTGCTGCGTGGTCACGTAGGAATAGCACTACTTGCTGCGTAGTCACGTAGGAATAGCATTACTTACTGCGTGGTCACGTAGGAATAGCACTACTTGCTGCGTAGTCGCGTAGGAATAGCACAGGTCGCGTCCCCTATGACCCCACGCAGATCGACCTCCCAGGGCGTATCCAGGATACGCCCGTGACAAACATTCGATGGCAATAAAAAGTTCGTTGCGACTTTGATTATAATTGAAAACAATAATAAATTTATTCCTAATAATAATAGGTGTTAATAATAAAATATTTATGCAAAAACGATTATATTTGAGAGTAATAAACTTCTATCTACAATGCAACAATATAGGACGAGTATAAACTATCTACGCCAAGCCAACAATATCTCATCCAATCTAATGATATTCATTCGTAGTAATATTTATAGCCTCGTAATATTCGATGATAGTAGAAATATAATGCTATATATCCATTATTAACGATATATTAAATGCAAAATACTACTTGAAAATGAAATCTTGAATACCAAAGCTAATCATAAAGTATTCAACAGCATATATCTGCCATTTACCGTTCATTTGCTACACATTTGCTATACATTTTATTCATGATTATTCATCATGGGCAACGCTGCCCTAACTTTGTTATGATCGCAATACCATATAATAATTATTTCTTTATTTGAATCCATATATATCTTTGCTACTCATCTTTAATTTTCTTAATTGCTTTTGAAAATATGTCTCTCTTAAATTAATAGTCATACTCATGAACTAAGTAGATGGTATTTTTGAGAAAGACGTTTCATCAGGTAGCATATCTAATACGATAGTTAGTCGAGTAGTCGAAGTCGAATAAAGAAGTCTATATACACTGTCCTGTGTGTAAACGTCGGAGTTTACAGTCATGAATTACGGTACTAATGTCTTATTTATATCATATAAGAGACAAACTTTACGATCACAAACGCCATTTGTGTTGTGATTGTCACGTGTAAACTGCGGCATGTAAACCACGATAAACTGCTGGTGTTAGTATGATGAGTAAATATCGTTATATCCTTCATGCTTCTACAAAAACATAATATACAACAAAATTGAAAACTTCCAGGGCAATTTCTTTCAAGTTTGCAAGCACAGCAAATGTGTGTAATGTGACAGGGTGAGTGAAAGTGTTGAAATGTAATGCAGTAAAAGCGTCAACCTCGCTACTTCTAAACCGGTTACACTTTCCTCACTCAGTTTGAACAATTTGCTCTTTTCAATGAATTCCATTGCCCAATCCTGCCAATCCTACCGCCAATGCAGCCAATTCACAAAGTAAGATGCCATGGAAGACGCTCCTAAAGTTCACTGACCGTGGGACTAACCTTTGACCTGTTAACAGGTTTCACTCACCGCAGTGCCTTTGTTTGAGCTCAAGGTTAAGCTGGAGGTTACCGGATGTACGGTTGACAAGTAGGGTGAACGGTTGACAGGGTAGGGTGAACGGTTGACAAGGATGGTGAACGGCTGGCAAGGAGGGTGAACGGCTGGCAAGGAGGGTGAACGGTTGACAAGGTAGGGTGAACGGTTGACAAGGAGGGTGAACGGTTGACAAGAAGGGTGAACGGTTGACAAGGAGGGTGAACGGTTGACAAGGAGTGTGAACGGTTGACAAGGAGGGTGAGCGGTTGACAAGTAGGGTGAATGGTTGACAAGTAGGGTGAACGGTTAACAAGTAGGGTGAACGGTTGACAAGTAGGGTGAACGGTTGACAAGGAGGGCGAACGGTTAAAAAGGAGGGTGAACGGTTGGCAAGGAGAGTGAACGGTTAAAAAGGAAGATGAATGGTTGACAAGGAGGGTGAACGGTTGGCAAGGAGAGTGAACGGTTGGCAAGGAGGGTTAACGGTTGGCAGGTAGGGTGAACGGTTGACAAGGAGGGTGAACGGTTAAAAAGGAGGGTGAACGGTTGACAAGGAGAGTGAACTGTTAATAATATACGTTTAAAAATTACTTTTTAAAGACAACACTTCCAAAGAATCCAGTATCTCCAATCTTACAGATGTACAATGAATTTCTCATCT